GTTAAGTTCCTTCGCAATATCTCTTGTTAGGCTGAATTGCATAGTGCTGTGCCAAGGAAACAAATGTAAGCTTTAATAATATTAAAATTGTGTTTGATGAAAAGCTGAAAGGTGAACCTAATTGTGTTAACTGATTTTGACTAGCTAATTGTTTGAAGTTGTTTGAGTTTTGGAAAATAACCAATAAACTATTTGTAGGGGTAGGTAGTTGATATAGGATTTTAAATTTTAAGTTAAATGTGTATATGAGTGTTATTTTCACCTTAAGACATTGAATATGCTAAAAAAAAAAAAAACCCATTTAAAGAAGCTTTTTGAAAAAGAGCTTATTTAGCGGAATAAATTTTCCACCAAACACTTTAATTAAATTAGCTTATTTAAAAGCCAAATAAGCTAAGGTTGGTCGAATAAGCTAATTTTGCTCAAAAAAAACTATTTACCATACACTACTTAAATCTTTTACCTTAACAATAAACTAATTAATTAATTAATCGTAGATATGCTAATAATATGAATAAATAAATTGATGATGATTCGTACATATCATTAAAATGCATAGAACATGAATTCGACAAATAGCCTATATATAAAACTTTAATAAAGTTCATTAAAATTCAATTTGCACACCTTTGACCATATTCTCACTATTAATAATACAAATCACATGATTGATAAAGTATAATATAATATAATATTGTAAACATTATATGGGTCAATGTTGAAAATTAATTGTCAAAGGTTCAAGACACAAAGATAAATTAGTGAGGGCTCAAAATTAGGCTCAAATTTCAAAGCCTATTTCCTTTTTGCCACACAAAATAAAACAACGACCCCATTCCAAAGTAAATTTGCCATACCAAATGTCTCAAAATTTACCACTTTTATGGAGCACTAAATTTAATTAGGTATAATAATCTTAGAAAAAACATGAGTGTGTTTGAGTTTCACACAAAGTACATTGTATTATGGTAATAAAAGTGTAAAAGTCGTTGGAGTAATAAAAAGATAGCCAACAGAAGCAACCTTGAAGTAAACATTGCTCAATTTTTATTTTTCTTGTATTGTATGACAAGTTCAATTTTATGATCATCTTCCTTAATTTTGAGCTTTTCTTCTATCCTCTAGGCGCAAGTTTGCTTACTTGTTCCTCTATAGTTTTTTTGGACAGGCAGTTGTTCCTCTATTTGCTCCTTATGCTAGCACGTTGTTTTTTCACAAAACGCTTAATATATGCGCCACATACTCCCTCCATTTTATTTTAGCTTCAGGTTAATAATTGATGAAGTAATATTAGTTTAATTTTAAGTCGTTAAAGAAAAGAAAAGTGTGACAATTAAAAGTGAGGATAAGCAATTATAATTGTATCCCTTCATATTAGGGATCTAACAACTTCAAGTAACAACCCTTAAGTAGAAGTTTACTCACTTGTAACGTTGTAATTATTTAAATATAGTTAAGTAGAAAGGGTAAAGATAAGATATCAAACACAATGTTATTGTTAGACTAAAGAGGAGGGGATTAAGTACAATTTAAAATCAGTAGGGGTGTATTTGATCAAAATTCATCTACCATATTAATAAGTAAAATTTTGTATTATCATTATTAATCTTTTTTATATAATATCAATCTAAATAATTATGGTTTATTTTTTTATTAACAATCTATTAAATATACAACATGTATTGTGTGTTAGCAATGCTGCATTGCTTAGCCTCATATATTCACAAAGCGCTGACCTTAATTTATCCATAAAAGTAACTTTAATAATTCAATAGACGGTAACATTATCAATTAATAGAAGTAAGGATAACCCTATTTGTTCATTTAGGTAACCCACATTTTTTTCATTTATTAAAGTAACCCCTCATCCGTTAACATAATCACCGTAACCTCCATTACTCAGTTAATCACGTAAAATGAGTCGAACTTTCAGGAATTAACTCCAATACTCAATTCCTTAAAGTATGTGAAATGCGTGGTCACAATCATCATACCGTCAACTAACGAGTTGTCCGGCCACATATATGAATGCATAGTACTACATCCGTTCCTGAAAGTTTGACTCACTTACTGTGGTCAAAATAAAATAATTTTGATCACATATTATGATTTATACAATAAAAATAAATTAGCATGAGGTATCTTATTAGATTTCCCTTAAAATTTTCAAATAACAACCTTTTATAATTTTCACTTATACATAGCGGCCGAAGATATTCATGGTCAAGCATGTTCATTGGAGAACACATAAATGTAAAATGAGTCGAACTTTAAAGAATTGAGAGAGTAGAAGATATCTTCTCATCATCATCTAAATTATTCATTTATTATCATCCATCTAAATAAAAGATTGCCTTTTGATTTACTGCCACTCAATTAATTACAGAAATATTTTTTGTATTCCACAATCCACATTTTTAGTTGATGAATTTATTTTGGGAGCTTTGTTTTCCAACTAGACAAGATGATGATATGTATTAGATGTAGCATGTGATGAATTGCAAGATGTTGCAAGCGAGGGGGAGCAAAAGAAGTGACAAGTAATTAAGTGCGTAGTTAGAGCAATTGTGTACTTAACAACCAAGAGTCCTAGAGAAGTAGAGAGCCACGCAAAGAGAACAAATGCAATCATGGGCGTCATGCTATATCAAGTGGTGTAACTTGATGGCGTGGTTGCAAGCTCTTGGAGGTGGCATAGTACGAGGTTATTCATCGAAGGATGGGTGAACCTTAGTTGATGATAGAGCATAAAATATATTCTTGGACCTCAATCATAAACTTAAGCTTTTGGTTGAGTTGGTCCACTAACAGTTGATACCTAAACATGTAAAACAAAAGAGTGAAAGATATCAATTTCACGTAAGCATGAAGTGGAACATGTTAGTTGTGTATTGTGGCTCAAAGGCAAGGTGTGGACGGCGTGTGGTAGCTAAGAAGCGGTGTGATGGAAAGAAGTCACATGTATTGATGTGATTGTATAGTCGCCTAGTCGGATTGGTGAGTTCCCGGAAAGATTTTGAGAAGTGTTTTAATTTAGGCTTTTTATGACTTGAGACAAGTACAATTAGCAATGTTTAAACACGCGTGAAGAGATAGATTATAGAGAGTTTCTTACATGTCACATATGTGAGTAAAATAGTAAATATTACTCGTATGTAATAGTACTTCGTACTTCACAATAGAAGGGCGGTAACTTAGACATATAAATTTAAGATGGAACATCACTTAATTTGTACGTGGATCATCTCTCATTAGTTTATTGTAAGCCTTAACCCATGGCCCAACAAGGATATCCTACTCAAATTTTTGCCTAGACTCTAGGGTAGCTAGCTTCTCCTACACCCTAATGCTACTACGTCGTTTTATATTGAACCATTCTGCAATTTTTTATTTTTTTTCTTCATCTTTTTTCATTTTTGTTAACTTTCTATTCAAGCAACTATATAATGATTTTCTTAACCTAATTTCTATTTTATTTCTCTCTTATTTTACTTATTTCATTTTCTCTCTCCTGCATTTTTTATTTTCCCCCAATTTTTCTCTCTCTTCTTCCATGGAAATTTCTAGCTCAATTGCGTTTGATCGAACTGTGATTCTAGCTTAATTGCTTTTGATCGTGATTGTGATTCTATTTTTCCTGCTGGAGTTGGTTTAGTCGACTTGTTTTCGAAACAATGTGAGTAATTTTTTACTCAATCATTCGATTTTGATTATGCTCTGTTTTTCGCCTGTAATAGTTCGATTTTGATTTTTGATTTCATAGTTTTGCTAATTGTATGAACTATAGTTTATATAATGCTCAATTATAATTTTTGATTTTATTGTTTAGCTAATTGTTATTGCTTATTGTATGAATTAAAACCAAAATTATGGTCGATTATAATTTTTGATTTCATTTTTATTTATGATATTTTTAATTTATAGTTTGTGATGTATTGTTGTGATTTTATTGTTTTTATTTGTAATGTTGTTATTCGATTGATGTTTTTTCCAGCATTTTAATGATTAGCTATAGTTTTATAAAATTTGACATTCAATTAATTTCTTTAGAGTATTAAACTAATGCTCATGTATGTCACATTATATGTACATTTACGTTTACATAGGTGTAGTTACTGTAATTTATATTTATCTATGTAATCATAAATGTTCATTTATATGTTTCATTATCATTTTGATATATGTTCATTTATGTAATGATAAATGATCATTAACAGTTTACATGTGGTTATTATACTGTAATTTATTAAAATCATTATTGTAATTGTACATTATTGCTATTGTTTGTGTTCATTTGTTACATTTTAATATTGCAGTGGAAAAAAAGAATGCTATTGTATTTGAGGAAGCAGCTAGTTCTGAATTTTATGGGAAACAATTTCCTTCTGAAGATGTGGCTTATGAAATGTTTAATGAATATGCATTTAGAAAGGGCTTTGGAATTAGAATCGGAAAAAGTAAGAGGCGAAGAGATGATTCATTCTCTATGAAAAGATTTGTTTGTACAAATGAGGGTTTTAAAGATGATAAGTGCAGGAATAATAGACTTTATGAGAGACTTAACATAAGGACTGGTTGCTTAGCTATTGTGCAGTTTAGTATTGACCGTTTAGGTGTATATACATGTACAAGACATGAGATGGTCCATAATCATGAAATGATTCCTGTTGACAAGAGACATTTAATAAGGTCTCAAAGGGATATTTCTAAGGAACATATTAATTTCATTTCTACACTTAGATTGAGTGGAGTTAAAGTTTCTGATTCTTTGAGAGCTTTGAAGGAGGTTGGAGGGTCTCCTAACCTTTGTTTTATAGCTCCTGATGCTTATAATGCTATTTCTGCTGAAAAGAGAGCTAAACTTGAGGGAGGTGACAACAATCAACTAATCAAATTTTTTGCTAAGAGACAAATTGATGAAGCAGATTTATTTCTATTATGATTTTGAACAAGATGAAAATGGTGCATTGATTAATATCTTTTAGAGAGATGGAAGGATGATGAGAGATTATCATTACTTTGGTGATTTGCTAGTTCTTGATACTACTTATAGGACTAACAAATATGGTATGATTTGTGCTCCATTTGTGGGTATGAATCATCATGCAAATAATGTGATGTTTGGCATGGGATTTATACTTAATGAAAGAACAGAATCATTTGAGTGGTCATTTGATACTTTTCTAAATTCTATGGGAAGGAGAAGTCCTATTACTATAATGATCAAACTCAAGCAATTGCAGCTGAGATAAGAAATATTTTCCCCAAAGGTGTTCATCATAGATTATGTGTGTGGCATATTGAACAAAATTCTAAGAAAAACATTGGGGCATTGAGAGCTTTGGATGGTTTCACTGATTTATTTGGTTATTTGCTGAAGTATTGTGAAACTCCACCAGAATTTGAGCATTATTGGAAAAGGTACTTCTGCTATATACTTGTTTAGCTTCTTAAATAATTTTTACAGAAATGAACATTTAGTTTTTTATAAATGTTTATTTCTAATGATCATAACTGTTATGCTTAATGATCATGTTTCATTTACAGAATGTTGCTGAAATATGACTGTGCAAATGTTGATTGGTTGAATGATTTGTATAAAATCAAAGAGATGTGGTGTCCAGTTTTTTCAAAGAAATATTGGTCAGGAGGTGTGCTCATCACAACGTAGTGAGACAACTAACAAATCAGTTTCTCAAAGGCTTAACAAGACACAAGGTCTATGTGATTTCTATAAGTGTTTCTCGATGTGGTTCAAGAGTGGAGAAGCAAAGAAAAAGGGAGAGATTATAATACAATCAGAGGTAATCGTCATTTGGCCTTTGCATACATTGGGATTCTTGTTCATGCTAGATCATTGTATACTATTCAAGCTTATGTGCTTTTTGAGGAAGAGTTCATTAAGGGTACTGCTTGTGATCATAAAGATGCTGGTGTGAGTTTTCCTGAATATTATTATCATTTGTGGAGACATGGGAAAGATATGATCAAGCACGAGGTTGTTTTTAATAAAGAAACACATGCAATATGTTGTACATGCATGTTGTTTAGTGAAATGGGTTTGCTTTGTTCTCGTGCTCTTCGAATTTATCATATGAATTGTGTTCATAAAATTTCAGATGACTATATATGTAAGAGGTGGACTAAGGCTGCCATGTGTAGTCATGGCCTTGATGAACCAACAATGAAAACCAATGTAGTATCTACAAGTGTTTGGAGGACACAAACACTAGGGAAATTTGTTAAGTTGGTAACAAGTTGTCAATACTCTTTGAATGCTAGAGCAGAGGTTGAATGGTATTTCAATCTTTTAAAAGAAAAGATTGAGAGTGTTACTGGTACTATTGATTTTAATGAACCAGTTGAAGGTATTGAAATATGTAACTCCACAGTTGGTGTAATCTTCGTTGCTCCTCCACTTCATTTTTTGCAAAACCACCTTATATTTCTCAATAGAATCTGCATCTTCATACCCCAACCCTTTCAAGTATTCTGCATATCCTTTTAACTGCAACATATACAGAAAAAAAAAAATCAAAGGATCATGTTAATATTGATCATTTTAATATTCAATATTGATCATTTTGTATAAACAAACTGATCATTTATATATCTATTAAACAATATACTTACCACCAATTGGGGTTGGTTTTCATACTTTGTTGCAATTGTTTGATGTTTTGGCAGTTTCCTGTTGTCAATTATATGCATTGTCTCATTGACATGATCAATGCATAGAAGATAGAAATGTGCATATATGGCCACTAGAAAAAAAATCTGTACATAGTACACAATATTATTATATATACACATTATTGTAAATGAACATATTATAATTCCATATTGTTCATTAATACCTATTGATATCCAACTGCACTCTTGATTTTGTATAACCTCAATTCATTTGTTATTCTTTCTCTGCAGTATTCAATTCTAAGCTCCATTGATGATCCTTCAGGACACACTGTATTTGCATACATAATTTGCTGCAAATGATGCACAGGATCATTTTAATATTCATAATGATCATCTAGTATAAGTGAATTGATCATTTTAGTACACCAATGTATACATTTGTAATTTCAATAAAGACTTACATGTGGAAATGTTGAAAAGTATAACTTGTTCTTTGACCTTTTTTGATTCAGAAGTACTGCCCATGAATCAATCACATTGTTACTACTAATGTATCCCCTTCAAGAGTTTTCATCTCTGCCCTATTGATCAAATTCACTCCATCATAGTATAGTAGTTCACTGCAAAATATCAATTTTTTAAATTTTATGAGTTTACAACAAACATAATGTTAAAGTTTTGATGAAGTAAGTGATGTATACCTTTGATCTTTTCCACTATAAGCATAGTCTGTTACAAGTTTGTTCATTGTGTCTTCATTTTTGAACAAATCCTTGTACTTGACCATGTATGGAGATCGGAAAGCAAGAGGAACATTTGGGATGTCCCTTTGTGGCCTAGTTAATGTGACCATATATTAATACAAATATGAATTTTTAATAATGAACAAATAGTAATACCTTATCTCTTTTTCCTTTGCAATCTCAGTTTTTGCCTTCTCAGCTTCTTTTGATTTTTTTCTTTTCAAAGTCTTCTCTCTGTCACTGAATAAATATTGAATTATGAATGATCATTTAGTATATTGATAATGAACGTTATAAATCTATACACATGTAAAGACCATTTACCTTTGCCCTGTTGTGTTTTTGGAAATTTGAATCTTTTCTGTTTCAATTTCTTTTGAATCCTTTTTTGTCTCACTGAATATAAATATAGTATAAATGATTATTCAGTTTAATGAAAAAGAACATGTATATGTGGAATGATCATTTACCTTTCCTTCACATTTGAAGCATATAACTGTTTCTTCTTGTCTTCTCTGAAATATTAATCATGGTTAGTAATGAAGAGTAATTAAAATAAAATAACATTATTCTCATTTTTTGAACCACGAACACTTAAAATATTACTAAGACATTTAAATTAAAATACATAATTTACATATCTTAAATTGTTCATTCCTACCCTAAAGCAAAATATTCCAATCTGATTTTATAATACATATCCATTACTAACTTCATAACCAAAAACTGTCCAAAATAATTACACTTCATAACCAAATTTATTCTACATGTCCATTCAAAATTCTATATTTTTTAACAAGATAGGTCTTCCATGTTTATCCCATGCTTCATCCTTTCTTGTTTGAGTCATCAAGGACATCTTCCATACTTGGACATGCTGGAGATTTCAAGAATGTAGAAATATCTTCAGCAACTTCCCTATTTTCAGTTGGTGTCTTGGGATCATCAACTTTTGAATCAGATGCTGCAAAAAAAATACATGAAAGAAATTTTATATAACTAGAAATGAACATTATACTTAATAATATGATCATTTATTTGTAATATGTGAACATTGTACCACTCTTTGAATTTCCTTCAACATTTTCTTGTAATGCTTCAGATTTTGAACCTTCACCTTTGTTTAATGTTTTTTGTATTAATTTGCATTCACACATATATAGACTAAGTATCATTAAAGAAGAATATTTTACAATCATAAATGTTCATTTATTACTGTATAAGTGAACATTTTACCTTTTTTGAATTTCCTCCATCTTGTGGTTCTTCAGAATTTGAACCTCCAACTCTTTCTGTTGATTTAAAATGTATGAAATTGTTAATGTAAATGAACATTTGTTATTCTGAATATATATTTTTTTGAACATTTAGACTAAACAAACTTATTATTTTATAAATGAACATTATACTTTTCATAATTGTACATAGATATTAAAGCTTTACCCTTTTCTGGCTTAGAAGGAACATTTGCATCAGTTGCTGTTGAAGTTGTGGTTGCAAGATTAATCTGTGCTTCTGTGTTCAAATAAATTAAAATTTAATTCTTTAATTATATTATACTCTTTAAGTAAGGATATTCAAATTAATGACAGTTTTTAAGTAAGCATATTTACCAGTTGTTAGAGTTGGGGGAGTTAAGTTGCAACCCAAACTGAATGCCTTCCTTATATCATATTCCTTCTCATTTCTTGTTTTCTTTTTTTTTTCTGCTTCACTTGCCTCCATCAGTTCCTTCTCAATTTGTGCAATGGCATTCAAAAAATCCTCTGATCCAAATATTTCTTCATCTTGGCTGAGAATTGATGGTTCTCTTGCCATCTTTCCCAACACTTCATCTACCTTCTTCACCAACTGATTCACAGGGAAGAGTTCTTTTGCCTTAACCAATTTTGTAGAAAGTCTTGTCAAAGATGCACCAACTTCTTGTACCATTGATGCAAATTCATTCATAAAGACCTGTCATTTATAGAACATATAAAAAAATCATATAAGACATTATGTGTTTTGATATTGAACATTTCATTATTTATAAATGATCATTTTGTACCTTAGGATTGTCTTCAGGCTTTTCTTCTATTCTTGGAAGGACTTTTCCATATCCATAGTTCAAATCATTTTCTGTTTTTATCTTTTCAAGTGACATATCCCTTGTCCAACAAGAAATTATTGGAATTGTTCTTGGTTGTTTTTTGTTCAATCTTTGAACTCTGTCAAAGTAGAACAGCTGCACCAAAACCCATTATTATAAATGAACATATAATATAATACAAATGAACAATTAATATAAAAGATTAAAATTTTAGACGAAATAGATATTTAACATTTTGTTAATGAACATTCATTGTTACTGAAATGAACATTTTATAATTTACTATTGTGTTTTGTAAACTTACCATCAGAAATTGCAGTGGTCCATTGTAGAATCCTTTTCCTCCACTCTTTCTCCATGTCACATGGCAACTGACGAGAGAGTCAAACACGTACTGACACCAATTCAAGTTTTTTATTTTTTCTTTGTCCATCATTGAAAACAAAAACTTGAAATGGCATTGGTTGTTTGAAGTACACTTCATCAAACAATTCACAGCAACTACCAAAAAGTTGGTGAGAAAATCTTCTTCTGCTGGCCTTTGGTTTTTGAATTTATTACTCGTATATTGAGCAATAATTTGGTTTACAGAAGGTGTTTTGCCTTGCCATTTTGACCTCCAATTTTTCATAAATACACCAAAATCTTCACTTGCTCTGTCAGATTTGGCTTCAACAATGGGAATGTCTCCCATTGGCAAACCATAAACAATTCTCACATCTTCCACCTCAATTTCAATTTTCTCACCTTTAGGAAGCTCAAAACTACAACTACTGACTTCAAAGCTATCTAAAACCCAATGGCTGAATTGTTTGTCAAGCTGAGGAAGTCCTATATCCAACAACGACCCCAGTCCTATTTCATGCACTAATTCCTTCTGTGTATCACTCATTTTCTTAACCCAATGCATGAATTTGACATGGCCTCCTCTTGTCGAACTTCCAACTTCCTCTTCATTCTTTTCTTCCTCCTCTTCTTTCTTTTTAGCCACTGAAAGTTCAGTTTTCCTCTTCACAATCTTTTTTATTGGTTCTCGCTCATACATAACCATTCTTTTTTCTTCGGCTTTTGGTTTTTTCAATGTTGTTTTCTTTTCCTGAACTACTTCCACCTCCTCACTTTCTTCATCTTCTTCTTTTTCAGCATCAAAAGCTGGATCCTCACTGTCTGATCCACTATCAGTATCACTTTTCTCATCTTCTTCATTTTCCTCCTCTGATTGTTCTTCAATGATTTTTGTTTTCTTCAAAGGGCCTTTAGCTGATGCAGCAGGCCTCTTCTGACCACCTAAACATTTGATCAATTATAATATGTAAAATGAACATATATATGAAAGTGTAATTTGCTAGTTTGTATTTGAACATTTAACTTTATTAATATGTACATTACCTTTTTGTTCTCCTTTTTTAAGAATTTTCTTTTCTGCAGGAGCAGAACTTATTGCAGGGACTTCTTCTTGTTCTTCATCCTCTGATGGTTCATCATAAGGCACTTGATCTATGACTTTTCTTTTTTTTTGCAGGACCTTTGGCTGATGCAGTAGGTCTCTTCTGACCACCTAATTATTTGATCAATTACATTAAGTAAAATGAACATTTTCAAACTGTAAGATTGTAATTGAACATTTATTGTTTTAGATATGTTCTTTTACCTTTTTGGCCTGCTTTCCCTTTTGAAGGAGCAGAACTTGCAGCAGGTTTCTTAATAACTGCAGCCCTTGTACGCCCTGCTTTCTCAGCAGGTTTCTCAGCGGGTTTCTCTGCAACTGCAGTTGTACCACTTGGACGCCCAGGTTTTTTGGGTGTTGTTGTTGTTGGTAGGTTTTCAGCAATTGCTGCAGTAGCTGTTGCTATAGCTGATATGTTAGGCAACTTAACATCTGCAAATAAACATTGTTATATAAATATTAATATAGTTGTAATATTTTATTTAATATGATCATTGTTATATTAGAAATTGTACATTTTATTTACCTTGTGATTTACTTCTTGTTCTTCTTGCTGGTGATTGTTCATCTTCCTTCTTCTTTTTTTTTTTTTT